GACGCTGGTATAGTTTTGTCGACAAAAGTCCACTTTTGTCGACAAAACTAGGTAGTCTAGACACACCCTAAGAGGAGAAATAAGAAACTTTTCTATGGGTAGTGGATATTCTTTTAAATGGTGGCTGTTTGAAGAGGTTAAAATAAATCCTGATGAGAAGGATTAGCAGGCAGATGAGGTGGTTAACAGCACGCATTTAATATACCGTGCAGTTTATACATGAATGTCACCTCCACATATGTGTGAATGCGTGCATTTTCATACATTTGTCACATAAAGTCTTTTTGATTTAAATGTAATGTTTTGTTGACCTCCAAAAACTCAATCCATTATCAACTATATATTTTTAGCTTTAATGTATCACTTGCTATCTCTCTCTCTCTCCCATTAATTTTAACACAGCTACTACTAGACAGTTTAACATACAAACCCATTAATTATGGTCTCTTCTAGTCCAAACAAAGAAAAAAGATGAGTATCACTATTTTATTGTACTGTGCCTCTCTGAAAAATGGTACATCTATGAGTTTAAAACAGTGATACTTAAAAAAAAGAAGTTTATGGCTAAACCTACTTTGATTATCAGAAAATAAAACAGCAGAATGTGTATTATATGTATATAACAAGGCCAGTTGAAAATTTTTTGTCAAACTTGTTTTTCAACAGAAAATTCTATTTTTGACTAAAGTATTTCTGTGAACAAAGTCTCTACTTTCTGCAGAAAGTGCTAAATTTCCATAAAAAACTGTCTGGAAAAAAACTCTGAAAATGTCAAAAAAAATTCTGGAAGAAAACATTTGCTGATCCACTGTAACACATAAAATGCATCTTCAAAATACTGATACAGTGATCACAAAAAGTTTTAGTAAAAATACAGAAGCATACTGAGCTCTATAAATAAATCTAACTTAGGCAGTATGCAACTATCCCATTAAACCCACTATTCTACTGCACCTGGTAATAAGTTCTTCTGCAGCTTGTGAACAGAGCTGGATCTGTGCAACCTCATCTTCCATAGCCAACTCAACAGCATGCTGAGGATACAAGTGAGATCGGAGGACAGGTTTGCAGGAATCATACTTCTGTTTGTCTTCCCAAGACTTCAGAGTATTTTCAAAAGCCTGATGAAAATGATATTAATATGTTAGCTGACAGTACCTGCAATTTTTTATTTAAATTTATTAGTCACACAGACTGATGCATCATTTTAGATAAATATTACAAATACTCTGGTCTATACAATAAATAGTGTTTAAAATTACTCTTTAAAATTAAATTTAGAGAACTGTTACTTCTGTGAGTAATCTCTCTCCCCTGTCCTCAGTAAAATATGCTGAGAAAGATACATTACAATTACATGAATGTAGGCATGCTCTTTCAGGACAAGATAGTCTGATGAGTGCAGTGAGAATCTAACAGTCATGCAGAGTTCAATTGGGTGGGGGGGAAGTCCTAACAAATTTGCTTTAAACAGTGAAGTGTCTGTATAACACAAGTCAGCATGCAGGGACAGAACAGAGTTCAGCATCTACTTGTTCAGTGGACAGAAGAAATTTGAGGAAATAGAATGCCAGAACAGTGCACACACATCCAGAGACTAACTGGTTTGAAATGGGTTCTGTTACAATAAGGTAGGAGATGCAATCTTGCCATGGCAGTCATGGAGAGGCACACTATATACCTAATTATCTATATAATTACAGTTAAATGTCCAATTTATGATAAAGTATAAAGTTAGCACCTGAAAGAGAAAGTATATTACAAACACTAGTACTCTTTATACAAAAATATACATATAATTCCAGGTAAAGATAGATAGACTATTTTCTCCTGGAAACTTAATGATTTCATCTTATAAAAAAAGTCAGACATTCTAGCAGGTGATAAAAATCTGAGTTAAACTATTTGTGTGAAAGACCATATCGATACCACCCTTGTATTTATTATTTCATAAGCTATTTTCTCTTATTATAACTGAATCAAATTGTTGTAATAATGGCACCAATGAAGTGTCCCACAGAAATGTTAAAATGCTTTCTGTAACTTACTCTGTCTCGTGTTAGCATTTGAGCTCTGTTTTTATGTACAATTTTAATAACCCCTGGGGGCTGGATCCATGCCTCTCCATCTACTTGCACTGGAACACCTTCATCTCCAAGTATGGTGATCTTTACTGACCGACACTGAAAAAGAGTAAACATGTTATTTCACAGAGTAATATATTAATTAAACTGACAGTCCACCTGCACTAAACTGGTTGTTAGCAGCTATGGCTTCTATCCAGGCTTGTCTTAAGAGTAAAACACTATTGTACTCAATTCATCATTTATATTGATGACTTGTTACCCATTCGAATTAAAACAAAGTCAACATTTTATTATGTATAATGCAGTGGCTGTGTAGACTATTTCTTTTCTCTGTAGCTTCCTAGTATGCCATGCCAACTACATTAGTTGCTTCCCAAACAAGATATATACCTGTGCTATTCTGTGGTGCTGCAATTTGATGACTCTTGAAACTGCCATCTGCATGCTGCCAAATACCGCAACAACTTCTAGTATTTTGTCATCAAATGATGGTGCCCCAAATATCTGAAAGGAAAAATAAAATATCAATATTGGACTCTAAGATCTTATCTAGATTGCAATTTACAGAGAGAAAGGATCCTGTCTCATTTTATGTCTGGTGCAATTCCAAACACACTTTAGGTATTTAAATAGTAGAACTAATGTATTTAAAAAATAAAATTCTAGATTAGAGTGTATGTAAATTACATGCTAACTTTAACACAGGAAAAGATTGCCATAACAAGGGTGATCATAATGGCAATTAAAGTAACGGAAAGCTATAGTGTATTATCTATAGATAGTGTGGCTGGCAGGTATAAATGCACATAGTAAGAAGTGTTAGTCAATTTAAGATTAACGTGACAAACATAATTATGTTAATCTTCAACTGGTCAATATTCCTAAAGTCCAATAGGGCCTTGAAATGAAGGAAGATGGCATTATAATTGATTTGTTTTAACACAGCTCAGAAGTTCTTCTCCTCCTTTGTCCAGAATTCTGTTTAGGCTATCTTCAAAATCTACATTGGTAAATGAAGTGTCAACACTTCTTCATTTAATGCTAAAGAATCTCATTTTAAAACATAAAATTCACTTCTTGTAATAATGATAACTTTACTTAAACATTTTGTTTTTGAATCCAACTAGTAGCCCAATCCGGCAAAGATGTAAGTACTTATCTGTTGACTTCAACAGAACTAATCAGAAGCATAAAAAGACCAGGACCTAACACTGAAAGCAGATTTTGTAAGTTAGTGTGGAAGTGCCCTAAATTATTTTTTTTCTCTCTTTAGGATATTATATTACCCTCATCATCAACGGCATGCAAATGGCCTTACACAAAAATAGAACAAAAAGGTTATTCTTTGCCATGTGCTTCTCTTTCTTTTTCTGTTTTTAGCAACTTTTGATAAAGGTAAAAAAGCTAAACCTGGATTTAAGAAAAAAATAAAGCATTTCTTTCACTTCTGAAGTTATTTTTTAATAAGCAGAGATGACATTATTATGCCTGCTTCAGAGCATAACACAATAATCTATAATGGTTTGACTTTTCTGCTCTAGGATACAGACCAGACTACTACCTTGTAAAAGAAAAATCAAAATACTACATAGGATGAATTAACTGAAGAAATATCCCTTAGAGATATCAAGTAATTTAATGTGAAACTTTAGTTTTTTACACTTATTAATTTAGTGAAACTTTTGGAGTCCTCTGTAACTGGATGAGTGTCTTATTTCTGTGTTTTCTAAATTGATAGTTTGTGACTAGACTGTGCTGTCTAAATAAGAAATGTTCTTTGTCTACATTTTCTCATCATTTACAGTTATTTGGGATCTACCAGCTCATTAACTATGACCTAAGTTTTTACCTTGAGCAGGGACTGTGCCCTCATTTGTGTGGCTCTCTCATACTCGGCATATTACAGGCAGTCCCCGGGTTACATGGATCCGACTTACATCGGATCCCTACTTACAAACGGGGTGAGGCAACCCCGCACTAGCTGCTTCCCCCCAGCAGACCAGGGAGATGCGAAGCTAGCGCCCCCCCACCCCAGCAGACCAGGGAGAGGTGGAGCGGCTTTTCTCAGCAGACACCTCAGCTTGAGAATAACGGACTGAGGGAAGTGAGGTGTGGGAGAATAAAACTGAGCTCTGGAGAAATGTTTGGCTAGAGTTTCCCCTACAATATGTACCAGTTCCGACTTACATACAAATTCAACTTAAGAACAAACCTACAGTCCCTATCTTGTATGTAACCCGGGGACTGCCCGTATTTCAATTTCTTTGTGGTGAGATGTATGCTGTAATGCTCATTTTAAAATCAGTGAAAGCTGTTCTTATAAGTGTGTATAAAAATCTTTACATTTTAAAAAGTGTAATTAACTTCTACAATAAGGGCTCATGCAAGGACCTGAGCAGGGAAACAAGAGTATCCTGGACTGAAGAGTCATGCAATAAGACCTTTGCACCCCATGTGTAGAGCTCTGCAAATCTGCAGATATCCTATTTATATCCGCAGGTATCCATGGCTCATTTTTGCAGATACAGATGAGGAGGTGGATAAACATTTTGTATCTAGAACCTTGCAAGGGTGCAGATATTGGCTTTATATCAGTGAGAATCCACATCCTCAGATGTGGACGCAGATATCTGCAGGTAATTATTATGGATATGGATGCAGATACAGATACAAATTTTCTATCCAAGTAGGGCTCTACCTATGTGATCCATGAGCACCTGCAATAAACAGGCCAGTGAGTCATCTCTTTTTTACATTAGCTTGGTCTGATTTGGCCTACAAACAATGGGTCATTCGGGCAGTGATGTATGGTGACATAAAACAACTTTTTATATGACAGATAAATTCTCAATTGCTCATCTAAATCAATGCAAACTGATGCAAAAGTTCTTTATTAAATACTGGCTGCTAAGTGTTGCCTGCTAGTTTTGTGACGTCTGTAGGCATTATATTGGTTGTTTAGGTTATATCCTGCCTTATTCCACAAGACATGTTCCCTTCTTTCCTCCCACAGAGAATAGCAAGTGATCATTAAAATCTTGTGTATTCAATTCCATGCTTGCATGCCTTTTTAATCTCCTTTTTAGCAAGTGCACAATGTGCCTTAGTTGGCATGTGATCAGGATTCATCACTGAATGTGGTCTACGAATTGGATCATATGAATGTGGTCTACTGGTTGGATCATCAGCTTCCCTGACTTGGGTTGGATCTTCCTGGGAAATGCAACGTGAATGCTGATCCATGCCCCCTATCTTTTTAGTGATGCTCCACAACATTGCATCCTCTATGCAATATGACCTGCAGAGGATGCCTTTTTGAACCACTTTTTAATTCCAAGGCATACAGTGCCTGCCTGGCATAACACAGATGGCATACTCTGCATTTGGAAGGCACTCAGTTTGCCCTTTGCTTGTAATCAGTGGATCACCATCACTCCAGATTATCACTTTTCCATCTTCCCAGCAGTAGGAATTCATCCTGCTCACAAGTTGTGATGAATTCAATTTCCCATCCCCACTCCCTCACTGCTTGGTTTAAAAGTCCATTTAGCTTGTGTTTAAACTTTAGTATAGGGATGGATATGGTTACATTCTGATTTCTTTGCATGTATAATTCACTTGCATAACATTTCTGTAGCATGCTTTTTTAAAGAAAACAAAAGAAAAGCAAAGAAAAGAGAAAAAAGAAAAGAAAAGGAGACTCCTAAGAATTTAAATGTTAGATTAGCATCATCCCTTTTCCCCACAGGCTGTTTCTAATCCCCCCTGTTTTTTCCCAACTAACAAACACTCCTAGGATAACTCCCCATATACATAATTCAGTGAGACTGTTGTGGCAAACCTGTCTAGGCTCGCTGAGCAATATTTTAGGAATAAACATTGCTGTCAAAACAATGACTTTCTTCAGTTCAGATGAGCAGAACCAGCAATCTCTCAAAGACTGCCATTGGTATTGCTCTCTTGATCAGTCACCTGAGACAGCACTAAGAGCAGTGAGTTGTAAACCTAACCTCTCACAGAATAAATGTGTCACCTTTGTGACACATCTGGTTATGAGTAGCAGTAAGGTTGCACCCAGAGATACATGTGTGCTGCATACAAATATGATTGCTAGAACAGTTTCCTCTCTTTCTTGACCCTCTGTAAAAAAAAAGAAAAAAATCTCTGAACATAACCTGGATGGATGTTAGGAAAATTTCCATGCTGCAAACATGAATGCCATGTCCACAAAAATGCTAGATACCTTTACTCAAATGCAGCTGGGGCTGACTGCCATGCTCAAAGGACATGTATTATGCATAGGAAAAAGATTTCAAAGAATATGAAATAAAGGTTTTGATGAAGAAGAGGAGAAAGGGTGTTGGGATTGTGAACAGTAAGGTTAAGCACTTCAGGTAAAATATTAGGGGAAGTCTACATTAAAACACAGTCTTATTAATAAGTCTAATTTTAAATGACAATTAAATGTACAAAACCATGTCAAAGCAATGCTGTGATTAAGACTTCACATACACTAAATAAGGAAATTTAAAATTATGGTAATCCCACAGCAATCATACTAGATCTTTCGTGCATAACGTACACTTCAACAGTAAGAATCCCATTTGGCATACCCTCAAAGCAGTGAAACAGTAGTGTATGTAGTAAAGTGTCTGTGCAGTATAAAATCTGTCAAGAAAAAAAAAGGACCAGTCTGGATCAGTTCATAAGCTTGCTGGCAACAATATATACAACATTAGGGTTGCCAGATGGTTTAACCAAAAATACGGAATGCCTCCCTGCCCCCCCCCAAAAAAACACCAGGGAAAAAATTCTGTTGGGGAGGGGGAAGGGGGGAGACCAAAGTTGTTGAGCAAAAAAAAGGGACCCCAAGAGTTATTAAGCAATAAACAAATAAAGAAATAAAGAAATGAAATAAAACAGAATTAAAACAGCATGACCCCTTTAAGTGCGTGCAGAGTCAGAATAGGGATAGGAAGATGAGACGTTGAGCACTAAAATCCAGAGAAGGCATTGCTTCCCCTTGCTCAGGCCTTTAGGCTTTTTGCCGGAGGCCAGCTTGTTTTTTTGGTCGAGCCAGAAGGGAGCTTCCCTGCAGAACCAAGTAAGCAGAGGGCCAGGGGGGGCGGGGGGGAGCCGGGACATGGGCCCAGTTGCTGAGTGTGTCGTAGGGTTGCCAGGTGTCCGGTATTTTCGCCTCCTGGTAGGGAAAAATACCCAGAAAATACCCAACATTTTAGGTGACCGGTATTTTCTGAATTTTTTACCAGACAGGAGGCAAAAATACTGGACTGTCCGGGTCAATACCGGACGCCTGGCAAACCTGTACAACATATGGACATGGAAAATTATAACTATTAAATTCTACCATATTTAATCCTTTCTCAAGTTGTTCTTTCAATTCCTTTTTTCAGATTCACCAGGCTACCGTCAGCTTTTTAAAGAATGGGAGCAAAATGTTGATACGAGCTCTGGGAATGATACTGTTGTCCAGCTCCCCTCACCCTCTACCTTTTTATTTGATACAGCAAACAGAAAAGTTTGTTTATTGGGAAACCTGGATTATTGCAGATCATGAGCCATAAAAGAGGAGAGGAATTGCTATTAACCTTCATCATTGTTTGAAAATGAGTGATTGCCTAAAAATTCTACTTTACAGCCATATATTCTTTAAGTATTGAACTCTATATGAAAATTTTGGTGACTTTAATGGGAGGGAAAGGAAATAAAAAAATTAAATGAAAATCAAAGTGATATATTTTCAATAAAATGGAAACATTTAATGCAAGAGAGCACACATTTAAAAAATGAAACTGCATTATAGAACAACAGTTTCCTGGTAGGTATCCAAGCTATATACCAGTATCATTATAATTACATGAGAATAATAGTGCAAAGAGCTTTTTGTAATTTTTGCTCCAAATGTTACTTTTATTTAGTATTACTTACATCATCCTCTTTGGTTCCACCCCAGAAATTAGTGCCACCAGCATAGCTTGGAATGTTTAGCACAGCTATGCCTTGAAGACTGGGCAGGGGGATATATTGTCCATCACACTGTAATGCATAAAAACCTATGTGAGAATGTAAGACAAATGACCTGATAAAATAATCAACCATTTCTAATACACAAAGCATTTTAACAAAGCCAGCAACGGAAGCTAAATATTAGTCTGTTTTTCTTATGCTGTGGAATAGCTCTATATGAATCTACTCTTCACACACCAATCAGGATTTTTTTCCCTTCAACTACAAAATATTTGAGCTAGAAATGTTTGCAATAGTGTCAAAAGGTAGCTCTCTCTGTCCCTTTGTAAACATTTGCTCAAGTTCTCAGCAGCAAACTATGACAATCTGTAACTATTAGAAATCCAGAGGCTTCATGTACTTTCACCGGAAGCATATGGGGTTGGCCACTGACAATGACAGGATACTGGGCTAGCAGGACTGATATGGGTTAATACAGTCCAGAATATCTATTCTTTTTTAACAAGAAATGCTACCAACAGTAGATAGCATCTTTTAGTTGCAATTTGGATCTCACCACTAGAAAAATAACTATCCTACTGAAGTGAAAAGAGGTCAAATGAACATGAAAAATATTATAAATAAATATAATATAAAATAAATTTATGTTTGAACACTGTATAAATATTAATAAAGTGTAAACGGTATGTAAAAAATAGGTAAAAAGATGATTACTACTTTCTTATACTATCTGGAGCACACTCCATTGGTCAGCCACATAATGACAAGAACCCATTGCAGCGTATCTTCTTGCTAGCTCTGGGATAATACTTAGAAAAAATTACAGTGAAAAACAAGAAAAAGTTCAAAGTGCAAATTCACTTTAAACTTGAGACTCCAGTGTATGCTGCCAAATTCAGCTCTCATTTTTTCATAAAAGGCCTCAGTCACCATTAGAATCCCTCCCTGCAAATGTATTCATAGTCCTGCTAAACTATTATTATTTAGGTAGCATCCAAATACGCTATAACCTTTGCTCAATATACAAGATGAACATTTCTTACCCTGAAGTGCGTATGATATAATCAGACAATGAAAGATGGAGGGAAAGAATTTACTATATAAATAAAAGAGGTGGAGTTAAGCAAAATATTGTTAGCACATATCATAGAATCATAGAACATTAGAACTGGAAGGGACCTTCAGAGGTCATAAAGTCCAGTCCCCTGCCCTCAGGGCAGGACCAAGTATCATCTAAATCATCCCTGATAGATATCTATCTAACATGCTCTTAAATATCTCCAGAGATGGAGATTACACAACCTCCCTAGGCAATTTATTCCAGTGTTTAACCACCCTGACAGTTAGGAAGTTTTTCCTAATGTCCAACCTAAACATTCCTTGCTGCGGTTTAAACACATTGCTTCTTGTCTTATCCTCAGAGGCCAAGAAGAACAATTTTTCTCCCTCCTCATTGTGACACCCTTTTAGATACTTTAGATATGCTTCAATTCATTTTTATATCTGCCTCAGTGCTCAGAACCATTCGTGACCAATTGCTATCCCAAAATGAAAAGGCTTCTTTCACCATTTCCCTGGTATGTCGCATTGTCCACTTATGCCAATTTACCACAAAAACAGACAGATGTTACTCGTGAAATTCCAAATGTGCAAAGTCTCCGCAGCAGTCCCTCTTTCTATATCCCTTAACTCCTGAAATACTTAAACAACTCTGGCTGCTTCTAAAAAATAATCCTTGAGTTAGTGGATGAGAACTAAGGATGTAAATACCCATTACAAAAGTTAACAAGTGAAATGGAAGGGAGAGATGCCACTGTCTTCTTACCTACTGCAGCAGAAGAAGAAAGTGGACATGCTTCCTAAATAGGCGATGGGGTCCACCTTACCTGCTGTCTGTCCTTTGTAGATAGTGACTGGGGTAAATAATAATGAGCAGCTACTGTCAACTCCTAAAGATGCGGAAAGTAACACTATGGCTACGTCTAGACTGCAGGCGGATCTTTCGAAAGAGCAATCCGCTTTTTCGAAAGAGAGCACCCAGCGAGTCTGGATGCTCTCTTTCGAGGAAGCCCTATTTACATTGAAGAACGCCTTCTTTCGAAAGAGGAACTTTCGAAAGAAGGCGTTCTTCCTCGTGAAACGAGGTTTACCGCCATCGAAAGAAAAGCCGCGTTCTTTCGAACTAATTTCGAAAGAACGCGGCTTGAGTCTGGACGCAGGGGAAGTTTTTTCGGGAAAAAGCTACTTTTCCTGAAAAAACCCCTGAGTCTGGACACAGCCAAAGTGAAATGATATAATTTTAATTTTTTAACCAGTTAATTGAGGGCTCGTGTAGAGCAACCAAGATCCTGAAGCAGGGCTGCTCCAGGCCAGGGCCCCTGAAGCCAGGGTCCTGACAGTTGGGCCTGCCCCTCCAAATAATCAGTTATCCCAGTAAGCATGATGTAAAGACTAATGCTTGCCAAGTAACCAGTTAAACGGTTAACCTTTTAGATCCCTAGTGAGAACAGAGATACAACATATTGAACCCACATCTAAAAATGTGGCTTAAAATGTATTAGAAGTATATGCAGTAGCATTTGTGATCTCCAATTTTATATTATTTCACCCTACCAGCAAATCAAAATATAAAAACTTGAAACATGAGACTATCTGAAGTATGGTATAAGATTAATACATGTGGCTATGCCACTTGCGAATTATAGTATATGACTGGTTCTAACTATTGAAAATGAATAATTTTATCTCACTCTTCAATTATATATATTTTATCACAGCACATAAGACTGATCATTATGTAAGACAATACTAAATATCAAACTTCCACTGACTTTTTTACTTCCAAAAATATTCAGAAATAATTATGAAAAGGTCAGATTTGAAAGCTAAAATATATCTTATTCAAAAGAAATGTTACATTTGTAGGTTCTTAAATTAGAAATCCACCCAGAGCACACATAATGTTCTTTCCTATCATCATCTTCACCAAATAAAGCACAATTTCTAGATAATTGCTAAATCCTTAGATAATGGAAATTTGCTTCTATTATACTAAACCATTCTAAAGACACTCAAGAGAAAGAGAGTTACAATAAATTAAAATTACTCCCTCAGCTTAACAGGTATCTTCATATAACATGAACTTCCATATAAAATATTTAGCACAAAGAAAAAGACAATGCATGTTCTTTCCTTCCTCATAGCGGTTTTCCTAATAACATATATGTTTTATTGTTGTTGTTGAGACCTACTCTCCATTCATTGTACCCAAAAAGCCTTCTAAAACCTCTCATTAGTATCAGTGGGAGATGTATTTTGAGAAAACAGATCCCTTAGAATCCACCGTCTCTTTAATAATACAAAAAATAATGACAGTGACAAAAAAATTTCAGAAATTAACGCCATACTTAGTTAATCCCCAGATACTGAACTATACATTTTAGTGGCGAAAACTCATCCAAATTGTAAAGAAAATAAATATTACCTCCAGCTGAACTTTTTGCTCTAAGTTCTTATAAGTCCTTTGCAGTAGCTCTTTGGTACCAAGCACTCCATACCACATCATGTTCTTTGTCCGACTCCTAGAAACAAGTAAATAAAAGTTCATATACTGATGCATGCAATTTGTTATATATTGTAGCTGTGGAAAGAGTCAAAAGTTATGGACATAAAATCAAGCAAGCAAAATAACAGAAAAAATTAATGCAAAACTCCATTACCGGCACTTTTCAGGGTGTTCCTCTCGTTTATTATTAAATTCTAATGAAATTTTTGCATCTAATCCAATTCCGAAATAGTTGTTCATGACACATTTTTCTGAATATCCTTCCCTGTGAAAAGAATACAAATATTTAAGTATCCAGTTATGAACTCATCTGATCAATTACTTTAGGGATTTGAGCTAGATTGTGGCTGGCCCTACCATAAGCATATGACTAAGGCAGGGTACAAAGCATATTCTGATTGATCCTAGATACTTATATGGCCTTCATCACTGCAGTACACCTCACAGACTGTAATGTTTTTAAACTCACAACATCCCTGGAAGACAGGGAAGTACCACTATCCCTATTTTACAGATGGGAAACTAAGGCACACAAGAAGTCTGTGACAGAACAATAAACTGAGCCTGTCCTTGACTGGTGCCATAACCAATGGACTGTCGTCCTGTTCTACAGCAGTCACAAAGTCTATGGGGTTTAAGTCACCTTAAAAGGGACAGAGAAGAGACAGGGACCTTACCTCCACACCCCCACTGAGGGCAGCTCGCTGATGGTGGTGGAGGTTGTGTGCTTCTACGGAGGGCATGCTCTGTGTGTGTGTGTGTGTGTCAGATAGCTCTATATGGCCCAATGCCTTCCAATGGTCCTGCTGTAGCAATGGAACTCTCCACTGTCTAACTTAGGGCCTCTGTCTAAAAGACACCACCTTGCTCTTTGAATTTACTGACTATTATCATGTATAAAAATTCTGCTTTAAGGTTCGTGTTATTCATTCCAGTGATTACAAAGTACAATTACCTAGAGAAATGGTTAAGAAAAAAGAGACTGAACCCCAACCCAGTCAATTTGAGAAAACAAGGAGATTTTCTTACAGAGAATCTGGATCAGGGTCAATAAACGGGGTAGCACCAAAGGGATCAATATTTGCAAGTAACATTTTGCTGATAATAGAACTCCCTGCAATAGAGGCAGCTAATCCAGCCCTTAAACCTGAAGGAGAAAACACAAACAAAACACTAAAAAACAGAGTCATCATAACTTCAGTGTAACCCATGCAATTTCGAGAATTAATATTGTTGATAGCCAAGCCCAGGATAGACAGAAAGTGCACTTTCTCGGATAGCTACATACATCACCTCTCTTTTCCACTTTCTTGAGCAGAAAGCCTGTTGAGTTTAATTTTGTGGTGGTTCACTGTCCACCATTGGAGAAAAAATTCAGGATTTCAATCCAAGAGTACTGAGGTTGGATCCAAGAGTGAGCTGACAGGTTGCATGGTAATTAAATGGCCCACCTAAAGCTACTGAAGTTACCACATTTTTCAGCTCTTTGTCCACTTGCCCAAGTCTCCAAACTGTTTCATTGTTTTGGGAGGAATTGTAGGGGCAGGCAACAGTAGTAAGACCATTGTACATGCAGTCTGTCAGCTCACTTAGAATCTTTGAGATATGTTGACTTTCTTCATTCAATTTGATAAATGTAAGATCAACCAGGAATTCTTCCTTTGATACCTTTTTACATAAGAGAGCTTCCCTATAAAATGTGTTTCCGCTTTGATCTCTTAGGGTATGTCTACACAGCAAAGTTATTTCAAAATAACTTTCAGGGTGGAAGGTCTCCCTCAGGGCCTCCTGGATACTGACAGCCCCCTGATGGACCTCCCAGATGGCAGCCTGCAGAAAGTGCAGCCAGGCTTGCAGCAACGCGTCCAAGAGAAGCACCAGAGAGCCCAGGGATAGCTCCAGCTGCATGTTGCAGAGTGCTGTGATGTTCCAAGTGTGGGCAGCTAGAGCATGCCGAGACAAAAATGCTTTGCTGTCCCTCATCGAGGTAGACAAGCAAGCAGGAAAGCCTGAGAACCGGCTGTCTGGGGGGGCGGGGCTTTAAGCATAGACCTCAGTTAGCCTCAGGCAGCAGCCCCACACAGTAAGTCTTGACCTGGTGCCCTGCCGGAACCGATTCCAGCCAGCCTTAAATGCGATTCAGAGTCCACTCAGTGTGGACGCGCTATTTTGAAATAGCAAAATGCTATTTCGAAATGCATTTTGTGTGTAGATGCGTTATTTCAAAATATCTTATTTCAAATTAACTATTTCGAAATAAGATATTTTGAAATAACGCTGTGGTGTAGACATACCCTTAGACAGAGAGGAAGGGACTGAAGGGAAGTGAGAGAAAGATAAAGCGAAAAAACAAACAAGTATGACTGGAAAAATGAGGATAAGTGGTTTAGAGAACAAAAAAGCAGTTCTGGAAAGGAGAGGAAACATAAGAAGTCAGATGGGATGGGTGGAAAAGAGAGACAGACAGACAGGTGTAAGAAAACAGAAATACAAGTTAAATAAAAATAAGTAAGGAAGACCATAGAGGAGACACTGGCAGAGAGAACTTAACTATTGAACTAAAGAACAATTCTTTTTTCTACTATGGGAAGGCTCACAGATTGATTAGCTTATATGGGCATGTCAGTGCAGAACTAATGTCAAAGTAACATGCACAACTGTGTTAAACTAATGAAGATAGAAATTTGCTTTCAAAAGCTTTTAATTAAATTGATCTACAAACAATACATAATTAGTTTCAATATTTATTAACACTTAGAATGAAAGTTCATTAAGCCAGTGTTTTAGCAATGATTTTTTGTATACATTTTTACTTTGGGATGTGTACAGATTTCCTAACTGCAAATGTTGCAAAGTACCTTTTCACAGTTTAATGTATGATATTTTTATTTATAGGAATGCCCACTAAGATTTTATTCAGCCAAAAGATAATTTCTCACCTGACTCTAACCCTTAGCCTCTCACTAAGCTAACACAGCCTTCATCCAGTAGGGTAGCAAGGTTCCTTTGACTCAGTTAGTAATGGAGGGCATTAACAGAGCCCTCCTCCCATTTCTGCTCCTCATTCCCCAAAACCAAATGCAAAGCTTTTGCAATGTATACGGTGCTTAGGACAGTGACCAGAAGCATTTTCAATTCACATACATTCTCTATTTGTAACATTCTTTGAATCTCTGGGTGAAAGGCACTATATAATAGGGATGTTAAAAGGCAGGTAATTTTGAATACGTGTAACCTGTAGGCAGCAGTGTGGAGGTGGCAGCCAGTTCCCCAGGAGCGGGACTGCAGGTAGGAGCTGGGGACAGCAAGCCGCTCCCTAGGACTCAGTGCACACTGAGACACAGCTTTTAAGCCAGATTCTGGCTCACACCAGCTCCCGTCTGCAGTCCCACTCTTGGGGAGCTGGCTGCTTTCCCCACGCTGCTGCCTCTGATACAGGGCTAGCAGTGTGTCTTAGCAGCCGGATCCCCAGGAGCAGGGCGGGAACCTGCATGTAACTGTGAATGTTAACGGATAAGCCAGCCCTTATTGTTTAACCATTTATATGGTTATATGCTCATATCCCTACCATGTAAATATAATGTATTACTTAACAACTAATTGTGACTATAGCAAGATGTTGAAAGTACTAGTGCAATTCAGAATTACCTGGGCAGATTATCCTGGTGTTAAGTACAGGGAGGTTTTCTTTGTTGGCTGCCACAGCTGGGACAGAGAAAGAGCCAGGATGAGAGGAAATGCCCCGACTTGTATGTCGATCTGGAGACCGTGGTGCAGTTTTAACTATGCCAAAAGAAAAAGAAAAAGAAGAAATAAAGTTAGAACTAAATACACACACACAAACTGTAGATACAAATCCATATGTCCTTATCTAAGATTCTGTGCCTCAACATATTGTACAAGCATGAGCTATTAATCTAACCTATTAATCCTCTCTGAGATCTCTGGAGAACCAAAAATATCTATATTGTTTTGTATTAATATTGGTGGTCACTCTGTATGTTTGCTAGGGATGAATTACATGCTATGGAGTTAAATCAGAAAGGATAGTTAAAGAAATCAAGCAGGAAAAATGAAATAATGCCCTAGATGAGAAGCATCCCAGGAGATACTCATACACCATAGCCAGAAATGTAGCTGTGAAGAAGTGGTCCCAACCTTGGTGATGTAGCTGTTTTTTAGAGATCAAAAGAAACACCTCTGTTAAAAGACCTGTTAAAAGAAAGAGAGTGGAGAGAAAAGGCTGTCAGCTGCTGCAGGCTGACACAGACTGACAGAGTGTCCAGGTCTGCTGAGAGCACAATGTAATTTGGACACCTTGACTAAGTCACATCTACTAAGGGGCTAAGAAAAATACTAGGCATAATTTTGACAGTAAGCATACAGGGTTGTTATTTTAAATCCACTTATTAGAGCACTATGCGCTTTTGGTAAACAAATCATCATTTATTTTAAAGAAACTTCTGTGTCACTACATATTAATACTGCCCACACAATGCTAGGTATCCCAACTGGCAATCAGGAGTTATAACCCAGAAACCCAGTCAAGACAAGAGATAGCTGGATCATGGTATCCACCCCAAAGAGAAGTGAACACTCACTCATGCCACAAAAATGTGCATTACAGAAAATGGGAAAGGATCTCAAAGGGGAAAACCTAAGTAGGGAAAACCTATAACCAGAAATATCCCCATTTCTGTATTTATTTCATTGATTTTACTCATGGTGAAACTCATATTAAGGAAGATCAAGTGATTAGCCCAAATGAAAATCCTCAGAGATATATAGAACAAGAACTCTGGAATTCCCAATCCCCATTTCAATTCATTAGGGTACAGGCTAATTTGACCATTGGAAAAAAAAAAAGCAGAATTAAAAAGGGAAAAATAAAAAAATAATATTAAATTTAAAAGATTTGCTATAATAGGAATTATAATAAATTATTTATTTATGTAAAAGGCCACTAACCCACACCAGAAGTTCTTAGAGTGCTATATAAAAATTCAGAATAAATCATAAACAAATAAAAACTGTTCTAATAAAACTAAAATAATTGAGATAAAAGGAAAAGATTCTAACAGTTGTGGTAATAAGTAATCTATAATTAGGGGTAATTTTTTTAAAAACGTTGGGAATAAACACTAGTTTTTACTTGCAGTTTAAAGGAAGAGAGTGGAGGAGCTCTGGCAAATTTAAAGAGGAAATACCATACTACTTGCTACAGTTCAGACAGATTACCTGCCAACATAAGGCCCTGATTCGGGAAAGCGCATGGAAGCAAATGTAAATATGGGTTTATATCCATTAACTTCAATGGAACTGAAGCATGGGCTTAAAAGTAAAGGGTTTTCCTGAAATGCAATGATGTTCTGAACTTAGGTCTAACACATAATCATGATATCAGTTCTAGGTGCAGGCTCAAAGAGGAGGTCAAATTTAACTAGACCTAAGAGATGGGAGAAGGTGCTTTCTAATTACTAGCTTTGCAAAATCAATATGGGATCTGAAATCTAAGATCATCACCAGCATAATCCCACTGTCTTCAGAGTATGATTTCAGTGACACTTGGGCAATATCCTTCATGTCAATTGAATTACACAGGTCTGACTATATTGCTGGAATTTAGTACAGGCAGTCCCCGGGTTACGTACAAGATAGGGACTGTAGGTTTGTTCTTAAGTTGAATCTGTATGTAAGTCAGAACTGGCATCCAGATTCAGCCGCTGTTGAAACTGATCAGTTTCAGCAGCGACTGAATCTGGATGCCAGTTCCGACTTACATACAGATTCAACTTAAGAACCCCAGGCATCCCCAAGTCAGCTGCTGCTGAAACTGATCAGCGGCTGATTCCAGGAAGCCGGGGGCAGAGCAACTCTGCCTCGGGCTTACTGTAGTCAGCCGCTGGTCAGTTTCAGCAGCGGCTGACTTGGGGACGCCTGGGGAAGAGCAGCTGGGGTGCTGCTGGGTTGCTCCAGTAGCGCCGAGGAGCGGCGCTACTGGAACAACCCAGCAGCACCCCAGCTGCTCTGCCCCAGTAGCGCCGAGGAGTGGGATTGGCACAGGTGGGCAGCCCCATCCGAGGAACCTCAGGGAATCCTCAGTGGCAGTAGGACCAGCCCCAGCAGCAGGGCAGGATGTCTGGGTGGTCCCTGCCGGGGAATCCCCAATGGCAGCGGGGCCAGCAGTGGCCAAGCTATCCCAGCTGGGAAACCCGGGGGAGCATTAGCAAAGTCAGCGGCAAGGCAGGGAGTTGCAAGGAGAGGAGTCTGGGATTGGGGCAGCCAGCAGGGGAGCATTGACCTCCCCTGGTCCGGCAAACTTCTTGGTTTGGGACAGCTCAGGTCCCAAGGGTGCCGGACCAAGGAGGTCCAACCTGTATAAATGGAGAGATACAGTTAAACTACTGCAACTCCCCATGAAGACACTCTTATTCCAAAATAAGAGTGACTTTTCCCATTTTAGCTTAAACTGCTTCTAAATCAACATAAAAAGGAAAAAGACACACTTTTAGGGTATGTCTACACTACAGCGTTAATTCGAGCTATCTTAATTCAAAATAGTTAATTCGAATTAACGCGTCTACACACAAAATGCAGTTCGAATTAGCATTTTGTTAATTTGAAATACTGCATCCACACTGACTGGACACAGAATCGGATTTAAGGCCAGCCAGAACCAGGTCAGGCAGGGCATCAGGTCAGGAGTGTCTGTGTGTGGCTACTGCCTGAGGCTATGTGATGCCTATACTTAAAGGGACCCACCCCCCACCTCCTGGGCAGCCGGTTCTCAAGTTTCCCTGCTTGCTTGTCTACCTCGATGAGGGACAGCAAAGCATTTGTGTCTCTGTATGCTCTGGTTGCCCTCACTTGGGACACCATAGCACTTTGCAACATGGAGCCGGAGCTGCCCCTGGGCACTCTGGTGATTCTCGTGGAAGTGTTGCTGCGAGCCTCACTGCACTTTCTGCAGGCTGCCATCCCGGAGGTCCATCGGGAGGGCTGTCAGCATCCAGGAGGCCCTGCAGGAGAGCTTCCTCCCTGAGGAGCACTAAGAGCCTCCCTGGTGTGTTCCATTGGGGGCTTGTGCCTCATTCCTCCCGCCTTCCACCTACCCTCCCTAACCCCCCTTCCTGATGTCAAATAAAAACACATTTCTTGCCCAAAAACCCTCTATTGACCAAAACTGGGGTGGGAATGAGAGTGGGAGAAGGGAGGGGGAAACCTGGGATGAGGGAGCTGGAAGGGGGAGGCAAGGGGAGGAAGGGAGAGGAGAAGCTCAGGGTTGGGGGTCTTGCCAATCCAACTTGATTTTCATGCAAACCTGCTCCTGGGTTCGCATGTGGCATTTGGTGGCCAGGCTGGCAGCTATCCTGCCATAGATGGCTGCGTTCCTCTGTCTGCTGCGGAGATCATGGATGTTGGGGGCATCCCCCCAAACCTGAATACGGTCCTCCCTGTTCTCCGCCCTGGACCAGGAAGGCGACCGCCTTCTCCGGGCCCTGGCAGACTCCTGGGAGCTGGCTGACTGCTCCTGGGGTGCAGTGGAGGGCTGGCTGCCAGTGGTTTGCTGGCTCATGTTTTGGGGCAACTGGGTTGGGGCAGTGACTGCTGGACCTGGGCCGGCAGGTTTGGAGCTGGCGCAGGCACTGTGGCCAAAGTCTGCCCCTTTAAGGGCTCTGGGGCTGGGGAGAGGGAAAAGAATTTTCCTGGTTTGGCCGAAAGTGGCCACCAGGGGCAACTGGGAAAGGCTGGAGGCCAGGTAATTCGGACTAAGCATCTACACAGCGCTTATTCCAAAATAGCTAATTCAAGTTTGGCGTTACTTCTCGTAGAATGAGGTTTACCTAACTCAAATTATTAATTTAATTCGAAATAGCGGTTTGCTTGTGTAGACGCTATGGAAGTTAATTCGGAATAATAGTTGTTATTCCAAACAGCTGTTATTCCAAATTAACTTTGCAGTGGAGACATACCCTTACAGAATAAAAGTGTCCTCTTAGAGAGTTATACCAGTAAAACTAACAGTTTCAATTCATACTTGCTGTATACTGGTGCAACTTCATGATACTCTATATATTTTTGTTGGTCTCTAAGGTGCCACAAGATTACTCGTTTTTAAAGTTACAGACTAACTCTGTACCTCTCTGAGACTTCTTAAGCTAGTAATTGACAGTGACTGTCAACAGTGACATCAAGAAACTCAGATGGGGGAAAGAGGAATGAGGCAAAAGAGTTTCCAGTTGTTGGGTTTTTGTAAATTCAAGAAAATATTGACCTTCCTCTTGCAAATCCAAACTGAACTCAACAGAGGAGAGAAAAACCTTTTGAGGTCCCTTGTCTCTTGACATCAAAAAGCTTTGTAAGGGAAACAGTTAAGAGCTGACCATTTCTTAAAGATCACAAAGCCATGGAAGTGATCAGCAGAAGTAACTGCTAACAGAATGCAAGAGAATGGATCAATAAGATGTCACACCATGCAGAAGAACTACACAGTCTATCAAACTGTCAGTGTTAAAAAACAGTGGATATAGCAAAGATGAAAGGATGGAAGAGAGACACTTAGCCACGATCAGGAAGAGATCAACTAGTGATCATGGAAAGAGCAATTTTGTAGCACCTATTGGCTTGTAACATAGCACTTCTGTGTGCCTGCATAGCTCTTGTACTGAAAATGATCACACTCCAGATGAACTGGAGAGGAGATGACAGAGTTATTGTATATCAGGGGTGGGCAATAATTTTTGACTGGGGCCACTTCAGAAATGTTTGAAGTGGTCCTGGGCTTCCCTGGAAGGGGAAGGGCCTCAGGCAGGGTGGAGACAGGACACTTATGTGCTGCCCCACACACAGACCCTGATTGGTCTGGGGGTGGGGGAAACAGAAGGGCTTCCGCAAGGCAGATCAACTCACTTGGCAGACAAGATCTGGCCTGCAGAGACCCTTTTGCCCATCCCTATTGTACATGCTCAAACTACTTCTACTTTTTCATAGCCTAAGCCAGGCTGAACTCCAGGTACATGGAAAAGGAAAAAAAAAAAAAACAAAGAAATCAGCTGATCTTAATATTTTCTCTCATCATTTGTACTATCACGGTTTCAAAAAATTCATAGAATATATATACTATAAGAAACCAACAGTTAATATAATCCTACACATTACACACAGAACCGTGTGAAAATGTACAGCATTTCATAAGGGTGAATTATTATGCGGATCAACTGAAGAGAGCACAAAAAAAAGCCATACAAATTATTCGAGTGCTGGAAAAAATGTCTTTTTGTGAGAGATGCAAAGAGCTCATGAAACAAAGACCAAGAGGTAAGTTTATTATGGTATATAAATACCTTCACATAAAGAAAGCACAGAGTATCAAATCTAGAAGAGAATGTCAGAACTAGAACCAATGGTTAGAAGTGCAAGTCAGATAAATTCAGATTAGAAATAAAGCACCACGAAGGTGATTAACCATTAGAACAAACTACCAATTAAGTGATAGATTCTCCAGAATCCTCCAAAATTAAGCTTGAATACCTATTTGAGTCAATTTCAAGACATTAGGTCCAACACAGGAGTAACTGGGGGAGGGCCAATAGCCTGTGATATACAGGAAGTCAGATTATATCATCTAATTGTCCTTTCTGGCTCTAAATTCTAATAATTCATTAACTACAACAATTATAAGATAATGATGTCGGAGGACATAATATCAACACAAAAACATGATTCTCAGATATGTATGACAAAACACTATCCTTAAGTGCTACAGAGCTAACAGAAATAGAGGTGGAAAACGATATCCAAATTTTATCGAATTAAACATTATTATCTATTTAGACTAAGGTAATTAATGCATGGAAAATATTACTTTCATCAAGTGACTGAGAACCTCAGAGGATTAACAAATAATATTCAGAACACAATTATCTTTCACTTTGCATAATGCTACTTAAAAATTCACAGTGCTATTCTTACAACCCATTCTCTCTGAACTCAGGAACAAGAGAGATGCATTAAAAGAATAATCAGCAGAAGAGCTGCTCTTTATTTGACAGATGAGACCCCTGGAGATAAGCTACAATAAAAATAAACTTTTGCTGTTCATGTTCTGATAAAAACTAACGCAGCTCCCATGGGTAAAAGTGATGTTTCATTGCAGGTAATTGAATTAATGTTTCATGGTTTCTCCTGAAACACACATCTCCCACTGACAATATTAACATGTATTCCACTCACACACTTCAAATATATGAATACCAATACCACTTCCCAAGAATTACCGTAGTATTATTCAAGGAAGCAATGGTTGTTTGATGAACAAACAAGTTCAATATTGTTAGCCATTCCTAACTGACAAGAATGTTTATTGACCAATAAATCAGCAAACGCTAACTACCACAAAGTTCAGTTAAGCTTCCTCTCTCTGTTTGTTATGAAAACCGAAATAATGAGAATGTTCAAGTCTGTACATGCTATTTTAAATAAAGGTCTGTACATTTTTAAATGCTGTAGCTTTGATATGTAGCTCTCCATTATTTTACGAGACGCATTAGTGGAAATACAAATTCAGGACAAGTTTTTTTTTAAATGAAAGAAGAGACCTAGCAAAATTAAACAAAACGATATTTTTTCTAACATAATGGACTCTGAGTTGCACATCTCCAAATACCTAAATTCAGCCCATTTCTGTTCATGTAAGGCAACGGGGAATACCACAACATGGTACAACCCCATTCTAAAAGTAATTCCTAATCCCAAATAATCAATTAACTAATAATACAAAGAAAACAAAATTCTAACTTTAGTTCTTTATTATATTTAAAGTTTAAATGTAATGGTCATAAAAATTTCCAGCCTTAGAGTCTGAAATCTCTCAAAAGAGGCATGAGCCTCTCTTCGTGCACTAATCCTGATTTAAAATGAACCGCCTACAGGGAACAAATTTAATCTCAATATCCATTCAATCCTTCAAAACTCTAGCCTCTCTGGTAGGTGTATACTTATTGCTGTTAGTGCCAATCTCAGTAAAGTACCTCCTGATAGTCCGGCATATCGGATAATCCGGCACCACCTAGGTATAAAAATGTATATACAATGTTTTTAACCCTTTTTATAGTAGCACAAGCACTGTCCAGCATCACACAATGCCAGTGGCAAACTGACTCGGTCCCGTCCGGTTTTGCTTGGTTCAGCTGCTGCCGCTGCTGCCTTGTGACTTGTTTTTTGCCGAAGCTCACTCAGTAGGCTCTTGCCATTTTGATGCCGGACTATAAGGAGTGCCGTACAATTGGATGTCGGACTACTGGAGTTTTACTGTAATACGGCCCAGATTCCAAAAGGCAAGTTCTGGATTCTTAGCACATCATCAGCACAATACCCCATAGAGAAACAAAGGTTTGGAAAGATACACATATAGCAAAAAAATTAAGTTTGGATTGTGAATATTTCACCCAGTAAGTAGCATTAACAGAATGCTATATTTAAAAAAAGACAAACATTCAAGATATTTTAACAATTAAGATTCCAATATCATATTAAATTCACCTGCATCCCACCTATGAATTAAAGACTATCAGCAGCTTACATTTGAAACTAAAATCTGTCTTGTCAAGAACATGAATTCTAACAAATGATCTTGAATTTTCTCATATTAACCTGCATTGATCTTTTCAACCTATATCAGACCCAGGAAGGCTTCATAGCTGTTTATCAGGAAGGTGTCAAAACAATAGGACAGACGCACAGGATGCCTCCAAAAAGTTAAAAGTTTTGCAAAAACAACAATCAAAGCTTACAGCACAGAACCCCACATTCAGGCTTCACACCTGTTTCAACAGCCACTACTATAATAAGCGAAGTTCAAGGTGGTTACTATTAAGAGATGTATAGAATAGTTCACTCAGATAGAATACTTTTTTCTCAAAAAGCAAAGGTTGTATACGTGCATCAAAATCAGGCTAATAATGGAAGCTGTGTAACCAGTTTATCTATGTCTTTAGTAAAGTCACTACTTTGACTTCATAAAATTCTAGCAGTTTTAAAAAAATTTACTCTGGATTTACTTACTTGTCTGAGATTCATATTCCTTTGTATCTTCCTCTTTTTCTTCTTCTTTGGATTCATCCAATTCCTTACTATAGTCTACAGAGGATTGATTCGCTTGTTCTTCAGTATGAGCATTCTGTTCATCCACAACTGAATAGCAGGAGGAAAAATAGTTAACATTTCTTCAGAGAAAATATGCATGTGTAAAGTTTCTATAGAAAATTAACATCCTACTTCCGTCGTGCTAATTTAGGGCACACAGATATTAAGAAAAGGACTGTTCTGCTCTAATTAATTCAAGAGCAGTTTAACAATCCTCTGCTTCTGATAATGGAAAAATTAAATTGAGAGGTGATTCATTCACCACCATATCAATAATAATACTTCAAAAATGGAACTCTATATAAAGTTTCTATAGAAAATTAACATCCTACTTCCGTCGTGCTAATTTAGGGCACACAGATATTAAGAAAAGGACTGTTCTGCTCTAATTAATTCAAGAGCAGTTTAACAATCCTCTGCTTCTGATAATGGAAAAATTAAATTGAGAGGTGATTCATTCACCACCATATCAATAATAATACTTCAAAAATGGAACTCTATA